TAGATAAAACCACTTCTAGGCTGAAGGGTAGGTTAACCCCAACCCAGTTAGACATGTTTAGGCAAACGTGTTTCGGTCCCATTTTGGACATGGACATAGTTTTTAACAGTCCATTAATACATCATCTATTGTTGAGAGAGGTTGAAGAGCCTAGGCAGGACATCATTAGTTTCGACCTGTTTGGGAAAAGGGTCTCTTTTGGTAAGCGGGAGTTTGACCTAATCACCGGCCTCAGTCATAGGATGATTAGGGTAGATAACGATATTCCTGGCTGACGACTTCGAGCACGTTACTTTAAGGATAGTGTCAGGGTTAAGTGTAGTGAGTTAGAGAAGATTTTTTGGAGGCAGTTTTTGACGATGATGAGGATGCTGTCAAAGTTGTCATAGTTTACTTCGTCGAGCTTGCCATGATGGGGAAGGAGAGGAAGCAGTTTATAGATACGACCCTTTTAGGGGTTGTGGATAGGTCGGAGCTGTTCTGCAATCACGACTGGAGTTCGTTGATTTTCGAAAGAACACTTTGGAGCCTGAAGAATGCCCTGAAGGATAAACTACCGGCGTACCAACAGAAGGCGAGAAATGACCCCACACACCAAGAGACTTATAGTCTCTACGGGTTTCCATACGCATATCAGGTTAGCGAGCTTTAAGTCAACTATATAATCGTATATATTATTTAAATGCATTATTTATTTGACTTCACTGGATTCTAGGTATGGGCTTACGAGACGATATCGACGTTGAGTCTGCGCGTAGCCACGAGGCTGGGCGACGACGCCATTCCTCGACTCCTTAGGTGGTCGTGCACTTATTCTCGTGGGTTTCTTACTCTGCAGAGAGATGTGTTCGATAACACGATGGTAAGTAATTATCTTGACCCCGTGCGATTCAAATTTATTTTTTCGTTTGGGTCTAATCATAAGTTTTTTGCAGTCCAAGGTTAAGGAATACTTGGTTTCGACTAATGCTGAGGCAGAACACATGGTCCGTATCATGCGTCCATCGGAAGCCCGCGCTATACCTGCCCCGCTGGCTGTACCTGACCAGCCTGCAGTACCTGACCAGCCTGCAGTACCTGACCCGGCTGTTGTACCTGCCCCGGTTGCAGTACGTAACCCGTCTGCAGATTTGGAAAGGGGTGCTGAGGAAAGAATGGTGAAGGACAAAGGAAAAAACTTCATAGAGGATCCGGTAGAAGAGGCCGAGACATTGGACGATGTTGCATTATAGGGTCCTGCATTAGACGATGCTGGACCCAGTGGAAATGACAGCGAAGCCCTACAGAAGAGGTTGAAACGGAAAAAATTCAAAAATAAGATCAGTAGAAGGTTGAAGAGGCTCGATGACCGAGTTGGTGCTATCGAGGCCACACTGACTGGCTTCGAGG